GTTCAAGAAATAAGACTCTATCTTACTGAACCAAGCCCGTGGGGCTTGTTTTAGCCCATATAATGCCTTTTTTAATCGATACACCTTTCTTTCTGCTCCCAGAACTACATAGCCTTGTGGTTGCTCTACATAAACCTTTTCATTAATTTCCCCATGTAAAAAGGCGTTTTTTACGTCAAGTTGGTAGACTTGCCAATTTCTGCTTGCAGCTAGGGCGAGAATCATTCTGATGGTGTCCCAACGAGCAACAGGTACAAATACTTCAGTATAATCAATGCCAGCTTGTTGTGAGTACCCCTTTGCGACTAGTCGTGCCTTGTGTTTATCTACATCTCCCTTTTCATTCAACTTTGTTTTGAAAACCCATTTAACCCCAATCATTTTAGCACCCTTTGGCAGGTCAATGAGCTCCCACGTCTCATTTTTTTTATAGCCTTCATTTCTAGATCCATAGCTTCTCTCCATTTGGCATGTGTGGATGCTTCTTTATAACTGGTTGGATCATTTGTGATAGCAAGCATTCCTAAATGTTGTAGTTCCTCATCATCAGATAGCCCTTCTCCGCTTACAAAGTCATCCATGTATGTTGCTTCTGATTCTCCCTTGAACTGGACTTGTACTAACTGGACTTTCATTTACTGGACTTGAAACATTTGAGCTTGAGGCACTTGAACTTCTGGTTGAACTATTATTGCTTGGACTTTCATCATGATTCTTTTCATCTTCATTGTGCCCCTGTATCTCCTCATCAGGTGTATGATCATCTTGTTCTTCATCATCTTCCCACCTTAAGACCATATTTGTTGTTTCTGTCTGTTTCCAGTTCCATTGCTTCTCTTCATCAAAGACCACATCATGACTTGTCACAATTTTCTTTGAGTTTGGATCATACATTCGGTAGGCCTTTGATTCTTGACTAACTCCCATAAACACACATGTAAAGCTTTTGTTATCAAGCTTTTTACGATTCACACCAGGAATGTAGACGTGACCAACACACCCAAATATCTTGAAATATTCTACTGATGGTCTGAATCCGCTCCAGGCCTCTTCTGGTGTTTTATCTTTTACTGCTACTGTAGGACATCTGTTCAATACATGGACAGCCCAGTTAACAGCCTCAGGCCAGAACTCCAATGGAACCTTCTTATCATTCAACATACACCTAACCATGTTCATTAGTGTGCGATTTCTTCTTTCCGCCACATCGTTCTGTTGTGGTGAATAGGCAGCAGTGAGATGTCTACGGATACCATTTGTGGCACAAAAATCATTAAAGGCGGAGGATGTAAACTCTCCACCTCGGTCGGTACGAAGGCAGCCAATAGAACAACTTATCTCCTTTTCAACCATGTTTTAAAATTTCTTAAACAACTCAAAAACCTCTGACTTTTCATTTAGAAAGTAGACCCACATCTTCCTGCTATAGTCATCGATGAGGGTAAGAACATACCTTTTCTGACTGTTTGATGCAGTGGTAATCGGACCACAGATGTCCAAGTGTATCAGCTGTAATGGTTGAGTGGCTCTCCAAGCACTTGATCTCTGAAACTTATCACGACTTTGCTTTCCCTCAATACATTCGGTGCATAACTTGGAGCTCGCTTTCAAGATGGGTAATCCATTAACCATCTTCTTGTAGGCTAAGGTTTGTAACCCCTTCATGTGGAGGTGACCAAATCTTCTATGTCATAGACTCGTTATTGAGTCTGATGTTGCTTGAAGACACCGTGTAATTGGCTTGTTGGTGGCAGGCATGGATGCAAACAATATAAACATGCGATTTGTCGACATGTTTGATTTCATAATAAGTCCATTGACTTTATGAAATATTTTACACGTATTGTCTTGAATTAAAATTGCCAACTATTTTTCTTGAAGCTGCCCAATACTCAATAAGTTGTTTTGCAATTCTGAAATGTAAAATACCTCGCTAATTTTATGCTTCCTACCATCCACTTCGATTCGAATGTTCCCCTTTCCCATAACAGTCATCCTTGAGCCATTTCCTAGTCTGACCGAATGCCTGTAAGACTTGTCTAGTTCAACGAACCAACTTATGTCTCCGCTCATGTGATTGCTACAACCCGAATCAAGAAACCATATTGCTTCTCTGTGTGAGTTATGCATTTCAACATACGACATAAGCAACATTTCTTCATCTTCATTAAAGGTTGTCTGGTTGGCGTAATGTGCCGATTGATCTGTACATTCATATGCAAAATGTCCTAATTTATGACAATTATAACATTCAATTGTGGATTTGTCAAAGCTTCTTCCTCGTCCCCTTCCTCTTCCTCTATAGTTGCCACGTCCTCTACCCCTTGGAGAAGACTTGAACTCTTCTCTTCCTACTGAACTTTGATCAGCGGTGACGACCTTTAGGGCTTGTTCTTCTTCCTTTTTTCCTTGCATACGTTGTTCATGAACAAGTAGACTTCCATGGAGTTCATTAATACTCAACCTTTTCAGATCATGAGATTCTTCAATAGAGCAGACAACATAGTTAAATCTTGGGGTCATTGACCTTAAGATTTTCCCCACCACTACACTTGAATCCATATTTTCTCCACTGATCTTCATTTTGTTAACCATAGCAAGCGTTCTTGACAAGTAGCTATCAACTTTCTCTCCTTCCTTCATGCTTAGCAGTTCGTACTCTCTTTTCAGGGCTTGAAGTTGTGCTTGTTGGACTTTAGAGGAGCCCTGATATTTCTGTTGCATGGCATCCCAAATCTGTTTGGACGTATCATCTTCCACAATTGTCTCCAATACTTCTCGAGGAATAGATTAGTATAAGTAATTCTTTATCTTCAGGTCTTTCAACTTGTGTGTATGAATTTGAGTTTGATTTCCACCTGCAGGTACTCCATGCTCAACAATACTCCAGTATTCCTTGGAAAGCAGAAAATTCTTCATGAGTTTTTCCCAATGAAGATAGTGCCCATCGAACATCGGAATATTTGGAGCATTGAACTTCACGGTGGTTTTCTTCTTCCATCCTTTTCAATCTCTCCTTCTCTCGTGTTTACCGCTCTTGATTAATCTCTCTTGCTCTCGTGTTTATCACTCTCGGATCAGGCCTCGTGATAGCTCTGATACCACTGTTAGTACTGGTATTAAAGAACCCACAAATGGTAGCTATAAAGCTTGAGTTTATTCATCTGCAAAAGGGGCTATATAAAGCCAAACAATAAAGAAAAAGTCTAAGGTGTACCCACGTAGTACACAGGCTAAACACGTAGCTAAGAAAGAATCAAAAACTAATCCCTTATACATCTGGAATGCTAAACAGAACAAAGACTTATTCAAAAACTAATAATTTCCTAACAGAAACTATAATGAGAATGAAATAGATATCAATCAGAATGAAATTTTAAAAACGTACTCAGTCAATTAAGGCTCCTCGATCTCGACAGATTTGTGTTTTTCAAGACCATGCATACGACTTGGCGATTGCTATTCTCATGATTCTTGGATGATTCAACGCCTACGCTCTTAGACGCACACGGATGCTGGTATCAAAACCCTTATTGGACTAAATGTTGGCCCAAAGTCAATATATACACTATTACTTAATGGACCAAATTTATGCCCCATTTTTTTTGTTGCCTGGGCCATAGCCCAACTCGCCCAGATATTGGGTCGGGCCATATATGTGAAGATTTTGGCATACACTTCATGGATTAAGAGACCTGATATATTGATAGCACATATTACAATACATACATGTCTACAAAATCAATTTCTCATTAGGTCGATGAAACTGTTAAGCGGTGATGTTTGGTTATATCTAGTAGTTTAAGTTATGGAGTTCGGTTGTTTTTGATCTACTTATCAAGATATGTTTAGAAAGAGTGACTCGATAAGGTGGGTGGATGGGATTTCTTTTTAGAAATGGGATTTCTAGAAGGTCTCGTTAGAAGACTCTATAAGGCTTAACATCCGAGAGGAGTTAGGTTTATGGTTTGGCTTGCTTATTATATTCGGCTTGACTTATAAATGATTAAGGCTTCAAAGCCTTATGGAGATGATACAGGCAGTTCATGGGCTTGGCCTGTTTGTTATATTTGGCTCAATTTTCTGCCTATGAATATATGTCTTTGTATTTGTATCTGCCTAACTTTTTTAAATGAAAAAAAACTTTTCTAGTTCGCATGTCGACGATCACGATTACGGGCTCAAAGCCTTATGGAGACGATATGGGCTTTTAATGGACTTAGCCCGTTTGTTATATTCGACTCGATTTTCTACATATAAATATATCTTGTTGCACCTATAAACCATATCATTCTTAAATTAATAGAAACATTTCTATATTGCATGATTAAGGCTTCATAGCCTTACGGGGACGAGTTGGCCTGTTTTTCATACAACTTTATAATGTAACTTACATAATCCATTAAATTCTACACAATTCAACGAAACATATTGTAAAAATTAAGAAAATATGATTTATCAATGATAACTAATCATTCCACATCATCCAACCACACTTAGGGCGTGTTCGTTTGGGAGCGTTTGAGAGCTTCTAGCTTCTAGCGTTTGACAAAACGCTCCGTTTTGAACTCGTTTGGCACTACAAGCTTCTAGCGTTTAGTTTAAACAAAACGCTCCAAATTCAAATGCTACTTCATGTAGCGTTTAACAAAACGCTACAAGCTACAAGCTACCCGCTACCCGCTACAAGCCACCCGCTAGCAGCTAATTTTGCGAAAAGCCTTTAACTATATACTTATTTTTCACATCTTAAAAATAAATTACAACTCAAATCAAACACGTTTATAAATATTGGCCCAAGATCGCCACCCTTAGATTACTTATTAACTTTTGTCCATTCTCGCAAATTGTAGTGTTTGTATTTTTTGTGTTTGTTTATAATATATTAACACGTACAAACTAAGTACTGTTCATTTCAATAAAAGTATTGTAAATATCAAGTAATTAAACGTTCAAGAACAACGATCAAATAAAGCCACTTTTATTAGCTTCATAGCATCATCCCAATATCTACATTGAACATCAATATCCCAAAAATGGTTACAAGCAATAATTGGTAACTTGTACGATTATTAAAATACTATTAAACCCTTAGAAATAAGTATTAAAAATTAGCCGGCTGATCATGACAACAACACAAAGGCGAAGGAGATGGCACACAAGCGCCCGTTATAAAGCCCCGCTCTTGGCAAAGTTGTAGGCAACTGTTCTTAATCGATGCACATGGTCCAATGCATGCAGGTGTAAGAGCTGAATACATGCATATACAATCAATCAATATGTTTTATAATCTTATAATAACAAATGAAAGAAAGTTTTCATACCTAAACTTGGAACAAATACCATGCAAACAAATACCAACACCAAAATTGTGATGGCCAGTATTGTTTTTGATGTCAAAGCCATAAGTCTAATTAACGTTTGATTTGATGTAGCTTGATTTGATTGTATTTACAGAATTTGTTTTTTGTGGGCTACTTAAATACCCATTTGAAAGGTACTATAACAACCAATTTGGAACACGGATTATTATTTTATTTATTAGACTTTTAATGTGTGTTCTTAATGGAACTTATTACCATATATAATACCAATTATATAACCATTTAAAGGTATCACACCATTTTCGAACAAGGATTATTCTTTCATTGATTACAATTTTAATGTGTTCGTTATAGGATTAATTAGCATATATAAGACCGATTAATTATTTGTTTGATCGGATTTCTATTTCAGTACTTTTAACTTATAAATACAAACAATCCACAAAAAAATAACCATCGAGGTGATGACTAATATTGCTCAAGGAGATGATGACATTTCAACGAAAAGAATTTGTTGAACATTACAAACCACATAATATTGATTCTTTTAGTGCTTACAAAGCCTTTATTTTCTTTCAAAAGATCAATGATTACTTTTATATGTCTTATCTATGGTTCGACCATTCTATATATATATATATATATATATATATATATATATATATATATATATATATATATATATATATATTAAATCTAAAGGAAGTTAGCAATAGTAACTTTTATGTATTTAGGTTTTTGCCACAAATGTTTAGTGAATTTGACACTTTTAGTCCTTCAAGTGAAAACTTTTACAATTTTGTGTTTTGATTAAGTTTTTGTGCTTTTAGGGTTTTACCACAAATCTTTAGTAACTTTGACACTTTTCGTCCTTGCAGTGAAAAGTTTTATATTTTGGTGTTTTTGCCACAAATCTTTAATGAATTTGACACTTTTCGTCCTTATAGTCAAAACTTTACATTTTGACATAAAAAACACAAAAAACCTCCTTTAGAATTTTGCCACCATATTTTCTCAACTTTGACAACTTTCACATTATTGCCACAACATTTTTGGATTTTCTCCACCAGTGTCCCTTCTTTTGGTTGTCGTACACTTTGGACATCTAATTTTAGGGGTTGTCGACTTTCTCTCCTATTTGCGGTGATTTGCACTTTCAGCACGTATTTTTTAAAGTTTGCCGATTTTCCCCATATTACCCCAAAAGCGGCGTAGCCGCGAGTTGTTTGCTAGTTTTACTTATTAATGGACCAATGTTTCCTATATTTCATTTCTAATATATTAAATAAATATAATCAAGTGGCGAGGCTATGCATAATTAAGATGTGTATCACCCACGTAATTTTTATAATTTATCTAAAATTTCTATAGAAATTTTTTAGTGATCTACTTTAAAAAAAAAAAAATAGGATCTACCTTGCCAATAAAATCTTTATATTTGTATGGATGATTTTCTATAGAAAAAATAGTGAATCATGTGGTTTTCAATCTAGACTCGCCATTGAATATAATCAGGCCATTTAATAAAAAAATGGATCAAACAAGTCTAAACGATCAACATTTATTCAAAGTATATTTTGCCGCATGTCACTTTTTCATTAGTTTTGACACGTATCATTTTGTGGTATTTTCTAAATAAATAATACGCATATGTCAATTTATGGTATTTTTCAATTTTCATAAATTAAAATGTTACATAATACTTATATTTTTATATGTAAAATATTAAATATAATGAATGTAATAATAAATGGCAAAGATTGTCTATTAATTTCTAGGAATTTGAATTCATAAATCCATTTACTAATAAGTTACGATTTTTTTTTGTTTTGTTTTATATAGATGATAACCTGTTTTGGTTAATAAATTATAATCTGGACCCTTCAATGTTATTTTTTAAAACATTTTCAAATAAAAAATAATTAGACGTATACGTTAAATGTCTGACTTTCTAATATTTATTTGATTTTTTATTACTGGTATAAAAACTATTATTAAAACGAGTTTTTAACTTTATTTATTAAAAAAATAGTTTATCTATAGCTATTTTGTTATAATTTTTTTAATACTTGCTTTCCTTAGCCATGGTTTTCTTTTTTTAAATTTCAGTGGTAAATCAATTTTTTAAAATTTTTTTAGAAAAAACATCATAAATGGTCCCTGTGGTTATCTAAAATCTGAAGTTTAGTCCCCGTGGTTTAAAAACCTCATAGATGGTCCCTGTGTTTTCAAAACTTTTGACGATTGGTCTTTATCGCTAACTCCGTTAACTTTTGTCTGTTAATTGAGGGGCATTTTCGTCATTTCACACCACATGGACCATTTATGATCTTTTCAGTTATTTTTTTAAAAAAAGAAAAAACTAAATATAATTATTTAATATATAAAATCTCTCTCTCTCTCTCTCTCTCTCTCTCTCTCTCTCAAGTGGCGACTTGGTCTCTTCTCCGATCATCGTCTTTCTTCCCCTCCCGTCAACATCTAAATGTTACAACCATCAATAATAGCCCTTGATTCCTCTAAATCAAAGCTAAAATCTCATCTTCAGACGCCATCTACACCCAATTTCGATTTTCAACCTTCGTTGCTTCACAGATACTTCAAAGAAAATTTAGGTTCAAACGCACATAAGACAAAAAAGGTATTCATGTTTCGTTATTTCAGTTGATGGGTTTTAGTTATAAGGCTCTGAGTGTATTTGCATCATGTGGGTGTCTTGAACTCAACTTTCCATTTCCAATAACAAATCACCTATGCTTTCAGATTTTCTTCATACCCTTTTACTTAATCTTATTTGTGTGTTTCTCGTATATGTCAAAACGACCTGCAATCGATTTTGATCCAGTTGAAGAATAATTTAGACTTCAGTTCTTCATTATCTTCAAAACTTGTGTCTTGGGAACCAAATGTAGCAGATTGCTGCCCCTGGATAGGTGTTAATTGCAGCATCGGGGCCATGTTATCGACACTTGACCAGAGTTATCCATAGATGAGCTGATACGTTATTGAACTGCAGCAGGCCAATGAACCAACAATATTTATTGTATTGATTAAGACCACGACTGTATCATTATATGCACTTGACCTAGGCATAAATATCAATAAAGTTTAAGCAGTTGCCCAGTGAAAAAAAATCAGCTTAAATTGAGAAAAAATAGCTTAGAGTTAGCTTCTGAAAAATGCAGGTGTGTTATGGAGACTTGCACAATTATGTGATGATGCAGATTTGGCTTTGCTAACCGAACAAAATAAAAAGTTGATGTTGATGTCAGATACGTTTAAATATCAGAAGGAAATGGTATCTGATTGAAAGTCTCACGAAGATCTTGTAACTTCTCTGAAGAGCTATTAAGCTCAATTATATTACTCTAGAACGTAAAACTACTAGCTCTTAGTGTTTATTTCTAAACAAAATATATGCTTCTCCACATAACCAAAGCGATTCAAGTTTTCCTGAAAATTTAAAGAGAGAGAGAGAGAGAGAGAGAGAGATAGAGAGAGAGAGAGAGAGAGATTTTATATATTAAATAATTATATTTAGTTTTTTCATTTTTAAAAAAAATAACTGAAAAGATCATAAATGGTCCATGTGGTGTGAAATGACGAAAATGCCCCTCAATTAACGGACAAAAGTTAACGGAGTTAGCAATAAGGACCAATCGTCAAAAGTTTTGAAAACACATGGACCATCTATGAGGTTTTTAAACCACGATGACTAAACTTCAGATTTTGGGTAACCACATAGACCATTTATGATGTTTTTTCATTTTTTTATTAAAAACGTGTTGTTCTTGAAAAGTTGTGGAGTGGATCAACCATCTACCATTCTAGCCGATAAGTTTATATGCAGACACTTTTTTAACTTCAAGCCAACTCAACTCTTATTGGGCCTAAAGCTTTTGTTATGGCCAAGGCAACTAATTTATCATTTTTACTTTTTATAAAATTTTTGGTGGGGACATTATAATCAAGTTTTTCTTTTTTCTTTTTCTTTTTCTTTTTTTTTTAAAAATGACCTTTTTGTTTAAAATGGATCATTATGGACATTTGGGACCAGCTTCAGTCAAACTAAAAGTATTTATTTTGCCAAAAAAAGTACATTTTGGATTGAAATTTCAGACTAATACCCGTATTCCAGATAGAAAGAAAAAAAACGTAATCCAGGAATTTTAAAAACAAGTGCAAAATCCAATAAAAAAATCTGCAATTTCAAGAAAATACTCCATGTTTTACGGCTAACAAAAAAATATAGAAAACTAGAAGTAGATACGATCGAAGAGCTTAAAAAGTGACATTTCATTGAAAACGGATGATATCAGACACTTCAAAATGATCATTTCGGACATGTGTAGAGAGTTTTTTGATAAATATTTGATGCAAATGAGAAAAAAAATACAAATCATATATTTTGACAAGTCTGGAGTATTTTATTCCTAACAAAAGTCGAAAATGTAATTTATTAAAATGCAAGAAAAATATTAAAAAAAACACTAGTCGGTTTTGTTAAGGGAAAACCGCAAAAAAGTCCTTACATATTGGTCTCATAATCGATTTACTTCTTATATATTTTTTTATTCAATGAAGTCGTAAAAACTGGTAATCGTATTCAATTTAACCATTTTACCCGGTCAACGGGTCATCCAACTTTCAAAAGTTATACTTTTGGCCCAGATTCAAATTTTATTACAAATTTGATCCAAAATTTGCATGTTTGGCCCATCTTAACTTTAGTTTTTTTACAACTTTTTTTCTAAAAAAAAATTTCGAATATGTTTTTTCTGTAAAAAATGTCATATTTATACAAAAAAAACATATTTTCACAAAAATAATTTTATACTTTCTATATAAAAACTTTTTTACATACGAATTCCTTTTTATAAAAAAAAATATACGCAAACACCTATTTTATTATAAATATATTTGTATACAAACACATATTTATAAAAAATATATATACAAACACTTATTTCATAGTAAACGTGTGTATGTGTGTGTATATATATATATACACACACACACACACACTAGCCTTTTACACACACCAAGCGATGGGTGCAAATAGTTTCTTTCGGAATTATTTCTATTCGGTAACATGTATGATTGGACACCCAACTTTACTTTAGAAGATGGTAACTTATAACTTGGAAATTAACCCATTTTGATATATTATTTTGGGTTTAAAACAAAAATATAACGTTGTGTTGGTTGAATTTTGAATATGAGTTATTATTTTATGGGATTAATTCTTATATAATTATTATTTAGAATACACATTTAAAAGGATAATTTAATTGTCAATAATTTACTTCTCAAATGATGCTTTTTATCAAAAACATGTTTGTGTGTGTATATATATATATATATATATATATATATATATATATATATATATATATATATTAAAAACATGTTTGCATACACTTGTTTATAAAAATGTGCTTGAATATATTTTTATAAAATACGTGTGTGTATACATTTTATATATAAACGTGTTTGAATACAAATGCGTTTATTATAAAATATGTGTTTATAAAAAATATATAAATATGTTTTTACAAAAGAAATGTATACAAACACTTATTTAGGTGCATATAAATATGTTTTTATAAAATGTATTTATAATAAAATAGATGTTTGTATACATTTTTTCTTGTAAAATACGTGGTTGTATATATTTTTTTTATAAAAATGGATTTGTATATATTTATGTACTTAATAAATATCTATTTTTATAAATAGGTATTTCGTATATAGAAAAGTTTTTTAAAAAAAAAGTTTTTATACAGAAGATATAAGATTTTTTTATGTGAAAATATGGTTTTTTTGTATATATATGAGTTTATAAAGAAAAAATAAATTCGAATTTTTTCTTGAGAAAAAGTGTTGTAAAAAACTAAAGTTATGATGAATTCATAACAAAATTCTGAAATGTGGGCCAAAATGGTAAATTTTGGACCAAATTTATAATAAAATTTAGAATCTGGGCCAAAAGTATAGATTTTGGACCAAATTTGTAAAAAAAAAATTAAAATCTAGGTCAAAAATGTAATTTTTAAAAGTTAGATTACTTGTTGACCAGGTAAAAACGTCAAATTGAATATGATTACCGGTTTTTAGAATTTAACCGAATAAAAAAATATATAATGACTAAATTTATTATGAGGCCAATATATAAGTATTTTTTGCAGTTTTTCCTTTTGTTAATATCCCTTTTGGTGCCTACTTATTTATGTATTTTAGGAAAATCAAATGAAACCATTGATATATGATTATCATTATCTCAATCCATTGTTAATTAAAGGTAATGATTGTGGGTTACTTAGAGTTGATTTTAGTTTTCTGTTTACCAAGCTCAGTATAAGGGTCTTCTGTTATTTTGCTAACATTAAGGATATGATCCCTCTCAAAACATACATAAAATATTGTTTTCATCTATATATTAGGCATGACAAACATAAACAAAGCAAACAGATTTAGGGGGTGTTTGGCTTATCTTTTGAGATGTCAAAAGTCTTTTTAGGAAAAGTTGCAAAAAGTCAGTTTTTCTTATATCCAAAATCCAAAAGTAGCTTTTAAAATGCTTTTACTAAACATCTTTTACATTTTAAGCTACTTTTGGATTTTGGATATAAGGAAAACTGACTTTTTGCAACTTTTCCTAAAAGGACTTTTGGTTTCTCAAAAGATAGGCCAAACACCCCCTTAGAATTAAAAATGATGATTATTGTCATATAGAATAGTAACATACTTTTGGATTTATCTAATTTAAACCACTTAGGTAAAAAGTAAAAACAATCCGACATTCTTTAACGTCTCATCAACATTTTAATTAAATACAAATTACCAATTAAATTCAAAATATGTTAGTTAAAGTACCGATGAGATGAGATAAACACTAATTTATTCCATAAAGACTTTTTATACCATACACAAACATATGTATGTAGTTTTACTTTTATTTATTACATAGTTCGATGAAAATTATAAGTGTGTTTGTTTACAAAAATATAAATTAAATCAAAATACTATAACATATAAAACACAAGAGTCAAAAAAAAAACAATACACACTTTAACAAGAATTTGGAACTCATATCGAATATATCATCTTCGATTAAATCAATATAACTATTGGTATTAAATAACAGATTTGAAATACTAAGATTTTTTTTGCTTCATAAAAGAAACGTATAGTATAAGTTTACAGCTTGGAAACAGCAGGGGAAGGTGGTTTTCGGACTTTCCTTATCAAGCCCTCTTGAGTTACAGATGCAACAAGCTAGTAATAAAAAGCAAGTCAGCTTCCCTCATTAAGTCCTAGCTTTTTACATTTCCCCAAAATGTGTCAAATATTTTGTAAACACATCATTTATTCATTTACTAGGTGTAAGACTCATGTATTACATGGATTAATTGAAAAAACTTAAATATAAAGGTCTAAATATTTAAAAACTTTGGATTTATAAGAAAATATGAAAAATAATGAATTATTAAAATTGATTTTTTTTATTTTTTAAATTTAAATAAATAAACAAAATAAACTAATGAGCTTTAATTTGTGAATTTTGAAATAAGAAGGTAAGTCGATTAATGAAATTGATATTCATTTATTACTACATTTATTGTAATTATTACACTAAAATATTATGTGTAATTTATTAAAATAGAAAACTCATAAAATGACATGTGGAAAAGAAATTAATTCAAAATAACCACAAAATGACATTTGACAAATTGAATGAGAGTGTGACATGTGACAAAAAAAAACCTTCATTTATTAGAGTATATTCGGACAACACTTTGTTTAAGGAAAAAAAAAGAGAGAGAGACAAACACCCATATTATCCTTGAGATGAACCAATCATGACTGTCTCATTGGTAAATTTATCTGACTTTATTTTTATTAAAAAAACTAAATACACCACCAATGTTGTTATAACTCTCATACATTGAATTGGGTCAGGTTGCCAATAAGGCTATCTTCAGCAACAATCCAACCCAACTCAACCATTTATTAAAATATTAATTTCTTTCTCATCCACATAAACAACCCAACCCAACCTATTCTATTTTTATTATTTTACAGACAACCCAACCCAATCCAACCTTTTATTATAAAATATTATTATTTATGATATGATCAGTTTTTATTATTTTTAAGATCGTAAAAAATATAAGCAGTTTACATATAAATAGAAAACGAAATAAGCTTATTATTATTGTTTCATCAAAAATATTTTTCTTTTTCTTTTCTGCTAATAATTTTTGTCATTATTGGTGAACTTTTCACCAAATACATAAATGGGTTAGGTTACTTGTGTGTGATTGTGAATGAGAGAGAAGATAGTTCTTTATATATATATATATATATATATATATATATATATATATATATATATATAATAAAAGACTGTTTTGGTTAGCTAGGAATTAAATAGTTTTTTTTATGTAATAATTTTTTTATTTTATTTTTTTTTATGATTGGGTGAGTCATAAAGATGTGTTAGCTAGGATGATACTGATAGTGGGAGGCATACCTGTCCTTTTCTGTTGAACATTTGGCCACTCACGAATCCACGAGCATTGTATGCAGTTGGACTCAATATCTGTAGAACCAAACAAGGAGTCATGTTTCATATCAAAAGAGTCAAAGAGTAATTTAATAAAAACAAGACTTGACTGCTTTTTGGCACTTACCACAAACAACAACCACTCGTCAGCTCTAAAAGGCCGGTGAAACCACATCCTTAAAAAAAAAAAAAAAAAAAAAAAAAAAAAAAAAAAAAAAGTTTATCAAGAAAGGTTCGTTATCAACAAGGGTTTATTTTATGTCGTGTTTATTTGGGTAACCAACTTTGTCCAATTTGCTCTTTAGGGCATGAAAGTTGTAACTGTGCTCTGTGTCTCCTTAAACTATAACTTTTTTATCTATTATTTATACCATCGTAACATGCTAGTCAGGTTCAAGCGGTTGCCAGTTGCCTTGCCTACATGGAATTCAGACTGTCTGTCTATGTGGTGCTAACATCCAGCCGTCCACTAGTACTTTTGACTTGTTTTTCAAATTAAGTAACAAAGTCCACATAGATGTCATGTCAGCTCCACATGGACATAGTCTAATCAGAATTTGTTCAAGGTGGATGCCACATAGGCAAGGCAACCGGTTAAACCTGCAATAACAGGTCACGATGGTATTATAAATACATGAGTTAAAGAGGTGATTGGAAATAGTTGGTTCGCAAAATATTATTTAATACGAAAGCCATAATTTGTATGATTTTAACATGAAAACTTCCCAGATAAGGAAATGATTCAAAAGAAAAACTGTTACAATTAAATTAACTGTTTGTATTTAAAGTTAAGAGTGATAAGTGATTATAGGGCAGGATGGTTTAAGGTGCTGGATACTTACGAGTGATCTAAGCTAACAGAAGAGGTTTTCAAGCCCTTACTGCGGTGAGGATTCAGACTGACATTTAGAAATATGAGATCTGAAGTGTATGCTGCAACACATCTACACATAAATATAATATAATTATATCATCTGATTATTGTCTAGATAATACTCCTATATTTATCACATCAACCTTATTAAAGGACTCTCACCTATGCAAAGCCTCGTCATCTGAGAGTTTTCCTTTCGCTCTAAACCAGTACCTCAAACTGCAATTACAACATAATATATACAGTATTATTCAAGCCTTAAATGCACAAAAATAGCAACGTATTTTCATTTATTTGTGAATTATAGCATCCTATTTTCATTTCCTTCTATTCCAGCATTTTGCTTTTAATCTTTTCTAATTACCACATTGTACTTTGAAAAATCTACCTAATTTATAGCATCAGATTTTTCCTTCTTATTAGGGCAGGCATTATACATTAAAAATTCTATCCAATTATATTATAGCAGTGAAAATTGTTTCATATTTGGATGACATTCCTATACTTGGGTAGAATTGACAAAGTACAATGTTGTGATGGGAAGAAATAAAAGGATGCTACTACAAACAAATTACAAAAGTATGTTGCTATTTCATGGAATTTTCCTATATTAAATAGTAACCATACATGAGTAGATAATGATTGGCAACTTACAAACAAACCATTATATTCTTGGCAGTTTTGCGGTTCAACCACTAATACTTCAGTTTTCCTTTCCAAATTAACAATGTTGACCATTATATTAGGTCTCAACAGTGATTTTTCAAATTAACCATTTTAACCTCTTAGCTTATATCAAGTGAAAATGTATAATTTGGAGAAATGTCTAAAAGTTTCATGGCTTGATTGGAAAAAAAATAAAAGTACAAGTGAAGTGGTTAAAGTGAAAATTGCGAAAAATACAATGGTTTTTGCGTAAATTGGCGTTTATGAAATGTGGTGGAGGTGGACCTTGCAGGACGTTTATCGTAGTTGGTTGAATTGCTAGGCTCACAAAATCTTATCTCAATAGGCCAAGGAATAAACTTTGCTGTGGCAACTTTGTTTCTGTAAGTCCTGTCACAATAACACCAGCAAACATTCAATAATATTCATATCATACCTTCTTAGGGTTTAGGGTTTAGGGTTTAGTGTTTAACAAATAATGGATCTACCAATTTTTACCTGGGAAGACGAGGATCGGTAAGGCGCCTCTCACGCAGATCTTCCATTGATAAAAGCTGAAAACATCAGATCAGAGTTAATAATAAGGAAATACCAATTCTGACTGAGATTGTAGAAAGCAAAGGTACTTCTGATACCAGTTCTGGATCAGGGACAGCTGGCATAGAGGGTAACTGGTGATCAAACCCTACTTCTTCTTTCTGTAATAAAATATATATATATCGATATAACAACAAATGGAAAGGATTTAATCAAGTTAATTGAATATAGAAAACACCTGAAATGAAGCAATCATTGTGAACACAACATTTCCCTTTTGTATTGCATCTATCCTTCGTGTAGCAAAACTATTGCCATCGCGTACGCGATGAACATGATATATAATTGGAACTGCAATGCAAGCATACAATTATCAGACATTTCTCCCAAGTTATTCATCAATGACAAATGAAATGACACATCACACATCATCTAATCTAATTATCCCAACAAGATGATAAAACTGAACATGGCTTACTTTCAAGATCCCCAACAAGAAGAAAGTAAACATGTAAGCTATGAACAATCTTGAGTGAATCAATAGTTTTTGATGCTGCAGCCAGTGCCTGCATATTATTCACATTCTCATCAGATTTTCAGCTTCTTATAGTAAATTACATTTGGCCCCTGAGTATAGCTGATTTTTGCAATTTCGGTCCAAAAAAGTTCTCTCTCGTAATTTTCGCCCTTATTTGAGGTTCTCGTGACGCTTTTGGTCCCTTTTCCAAGTAAAATGACTATTTTTGGTCCCTTGGTAAAGCTGGTTTTTGAAATTTGGGTGAAAAAAATTAACTCATTTACTTGGAACAGGAACCAAAACCTACAAAATCCTCAAATAAGGACCTAAATTCCAAGAGAAGACCTTTTGGGACCAAACATGTAATTTACTCAACTTTTTATATTATAGAGAAATCTCTACCTAAATGAATGGGAACATTACATATATTGATGATAATGTAGGGTGTCAAAAATATAGGTATTTTCTGCAATTTTCCCTAACATGCTATGCATGTATATAATATAAATATACTCCTATATAAGTATATAACAATGTTCCAGTTTAACTAAAAGAAAAAGTTTTACTATTACCTGTCCAATGAACTGTCCACCAAACACTTTCCCAAAACGTGGAGCATCAGGCAACGTGATCCCTTTAAAAATGTTGACCTTCATAGAAAACATAACAAAATAACAAATACAAGTTATTTTTTGCTTTATCAACATATATAACAGGGATCACATGATATAGCCTGCTTTGTTTAATTTTTATTTATATATTGCTTTACTTACTTCTATAGGCTCAAGATGCAATATGCTCTCTACAAGTGAACATGATTCTAGTGTTTTGTCTGCACTCCAGATCGACTTTGACTGCAACAAACTGCAATGCTCTTGGGGCAATACTAAGCAGGTCAACTGTTGCAAATAACAGGGGGGGGGGGGGGGGGGGGGGGAATTAAATAATCAAATTTAGAAAATAAAATAAGGAAAAACACAACTATTCAAAGTACCTTAGTAAGTGCAATGACATCTGCTTGCTGTGCAGATACTGCCACACCTGCAAATCAAGAATTATCCTGAAAAGACTACCTTCGAGTGCATTGTTGTTCCATTGGGAATTAAATTATTGTTGTTGACAGTTATTGTGAATGGAAAAAAAAACAATAAATTATATAGCAATCAATAATAATGAATAAATGATGATGAAAGATGAGGTTTTCACCATTGCCAAAGTAGTCATAACGTTTAAGTTGGAACTCTGGCCTATTATGCTCATCTGCTTGGACATAGCCAGACACCTCCGCCTGCAAAATTTGCATAATCATACTACGTAAAATTGCAGGAAATAGCAATGTACTTTCATTGATTTGTTTACCAATGTAGGCAATATAATATATTGTACTATTTACACATAATAGCAGCATACTGACATTTCTTTACCAATAATAGGCAATATGTAACAAATATATAATGCCCATATTGGTAGCAACATTCAATTATAGGTAAAAGATAAAGGACATTGCTATTATCGATTAGAAAAAGTAAATATGTTGCTACTATGGGTAAAAAAATAAAGTACATTGCTCATATTGGTAGCAAGAGCAAAGTACATTGCTATTCGAGGCAATTTACTCATCATTCCGTATTATTGAATCACATGGAAAACATTACCTCGCCTTCCCATATGAAGTAGATTCCATTCCCAGCCTCTCCTTCACGAACAACATACTCGTGTGGTTCTTGAAAAGGAAACATTACAACTATTTAAGTCAATAAACATCTTTCATTTTGAGGGGCCCTAATTTCATAATTAAACAAGTCTAAGACTTTTTAAGTAAATAATTTTACGATAATACTGAAAGCGCACTCCTGTATATTTATACCCTATGCAGCAACAATAACATATTTGCTAACAAATTTTACTGAATCAATAAGATATATAATCATGTGTCTTTATAGGGCATTGTATGCTTTCTCCCGATAGTTATGTAAATTGACCAATGACACCCCAGAATTATTTAGCTTCCTTTCCATACAACCTAAGTATTCCAAATTTTATGCTTTCTTAACACTTTTCAACATTCCTAACATTCTGATGAAGCCAAGCCACACTAAATTAAACTATTACTCTCAGTCCCATATAATTGCAAATATTTACTTGGTAACTGGCACATAGCATAAGCATAGTGTTTTACTATTCCCCAAAATATCCAATCAATGACAAAATTAAAGACTGTAATATCACCAGCATAATCCATTTGAAATGGTGCAAACTCATAAATGGGTCATTTCATCTGTACAATTTTCCAGTCTTCATGGTACATCACACATATCAAACTTTCAATGCTACTAATGGATTGGAGGTAATATGATATAGTACTTGACGAATCAACCTAAGATTTGCACAATTACATTACTCAATCCATCCATAACAGAAATAAATTATTACTTGAAATCAAACAACAATAGGCATAAATCTGAAATCTAAAACAACTCAAAACACTACTTTTCTATCAAATTACTGATCATCAAAACATCAAATGGACCAAACCGGTATCAGTCTATATAGAACTAATTTATTACTGTAATATTCAAAACCCTACTTTTCTACCAAGTAAACTGATCATCAAAACATCAAATTCACCAAAATTATATCAGTCGACAATCAAAATAGAACCAACTTATTACCGTAGTGTTTAACAGTAACAACTTGTGCGATTTTCCGGAGAGACAAGCTCGGGAGCCTCTGAAGCAACGGCACACAACCCAAAAACTCGATCACTGCTCATAAATTTCAACCATATACACCAACAAAAACAATCATCTGTCACATCAATACACATTGAAACTGCAAGAGATTAGCGACTATTGATAACGAATTCAGGTTACCTGCTTCTGTAGTGTACATGTTGAACTTTGACCACAACTTTACAATGATTCGGGAAAAAACTGTTTTTCCAGTCGTATCTAGACGGCAGATAAAGAGAGATGCTCCGAGCCCCCAAGGCAACAACAACGCGACTATAATTTATTAGCGTCCATTTAATCACGTGTTTTCTCTTTTCCCCTTCTTTTTCTTTCAATAATTGATCTAAACGGACCCATACGGAAATATGGAACATCTGTTACAAAGTAAAATGCTAAATTATATTCTTCGTTCATACGAAATATGAAAATAATGATATCATTCCCAAAAATTGACCGTTTTTATTATTATTATTATTATTATTATTATTATTAGATTAAAAAAAATATTATTGATAATTTCAAATCATAATAACTAATAAATATTTATAAAAGTTATTAATTTATAAAGATAGAAATTTTGTCTGTATTTATAATGATATTTCAAATTATAATGACTAATAAAATACTTGTAAAAAACCGTTAATTTACAAAGACAAAAGTTTTGTTTGTATTTATAATGATATTATTTGAAAATTACGATACATAATATTGTTGATAGATAACAATTACTAACGTTTGGACCGTCCGTGCGATATTGGGGATGCCCGGTATATTGAAAAACGCAGCTCGACATGGATAAGGTTTGTGGGAGAAATTTTGAGACAACTTTCAACATAGTTACTTTCAACCATAGTCCAAAATTGCAAACTACAATGTTATTTTCTACCATAATGATGCTATAAAATCAAGCAACAGAACATATGTAGTTACATTCAACGTTGGTTAATCTTTTATCATCTTTAATAAATATGAGCATAAATAGGGTATTAAAAAAGTTTAAAGGTCCCAAGATAACCATTTGCAAAGTAGACCATAAAAGTATAAAAATAAAGTTTATAGCTTAATAATTATGTATGAAAGATTCGGACAAAAATAAAATTTGAAAATATATCATATTTGGTACAATACTACAAATAACAATTAATAAAAAAGTAATTAATGAAAATTAATATTAATGAAAATGAAAACTATAAAAACAAATTATATAAAGGACATAAAATGTTACTTTAAAATATAATTAGGGACCGGAATCTCAACTTACAAAAATATCAATAATATAATTTAATAAAAATTAGGGATGAAAATAATTAATTCAAAATTAGTTGAGGGGAAAATATATATATATATATATATATATATATATATATATATAAATTTGCTATATGCAGATTCAAAATTGTTATCTCCAAATAGGAGGTTATTTGCATTTTGTATCAAATGCTTTAAAAATAATAATATAATATGAATTTTGTAGTTTTGGTTATGGTAAAAGTAAAAACCAAATGAATAGTGTTTTATACTTAGAGACTCGAAGTTGGAATTTAATATATATACTAGGGTTTGGACCATCAGTGCGATGCTGCGGAATCCCAATATGTTGAAAAACGCATCTCAACATGGATAAGGTTTTTGGGAGAAATTTATGCACGTTGCGGCGAAAAACTTCTTTACAAAGTGAATCACAAAAGTATAAAATAAGGTTTCAAAGCAAAAAAATATATATATATGGCATTAAGATTTCCAAGGTTTAGCCAGGGCTTAGCTCAGGACCCCACTACTCGTCGTATTTGGTTTGGTATTGCTATCGCGCATGACTTCGAGAGTCATGATGATATTACTGAGGAACGTCTTTATCATGATGCATACAAAATGATGTTTAAAATGTATCTTAAACGTATTAATCATCGTTTAAATAAAAAGTAATATTAATAAAAATGAAAACTATAATAACAACTAGAAAGGTGACCCCCGCGTTGCGGGGGTCGGAAAGTGTCGCTTTTGTATGGAAGTATAGTACATTGTTCTAATTGGTAGCTACAGTAAAGTATGTTGCTATTGTCTACGTTTCGCCCATTTACAAATACACAAATATAATGTAGTATGCTATAATATAATGACCCATTTGTGTTGCAAAGTAAATAGCAAGTGCGGCAGCAACACCCTGTTAAAAAAAAGTAAAGTATTACCTCTCGAATATTAAATAAAGCAATGGGTAAGGCTAGGTTATGGCCAATACGAAGACCCTATAAAACAAACATAAGCAGTATAAAAATATGGACAATGTTTCAATACAGTTTTCTAAAAATCAGTTGAGTATTAGTATTCGTTTATACCTACAAATCAACAATATACCACTTTCGGTAATGGATCAATTAGTTCTTACCAATCACATCAGCTTCACAAAGAAGGGCACGCTCGGGATATCAAGACTTGGATCATAGCATATGTGCTCTCAATGCATGCCTGTTATTAACTGAGAAATTTAAGTGCATAAAATATTATTTTTTTGCATTCAATTTAAATTCATTTGTACACCAACCCATCTAAACCCTACATGCAAAAGGTCACATATTATGTAAATACAATGCATTATTCAAGTCTACATTTTTATAATAGATTATGAAAATTAAGAAAACTGAAGGAATGATATGTTGCTTTTCTGTTGCTGAAGCTGTTTCAGATACGTGGGGATTGCATCCTCGAGAGTTCTACTAAAAAGCTTTGTAGGTAAGTGCCCAACCACCTCGACTCTCGCTCTGTATGTTATAAAAGTATTTAAATGGTAGATCCATAAATCAAACCCAACATTTAATCCAGAGGGTAAAAAGGTAATTATACCTGCCAATAGCTAATTTGTTGGACAACAGTAGATGATGGAACAACTGCAAGCCATATTGGTACATTGGTATGACAACATAAGCTGCAAGCATCTCTCTTATTGTAATCTTTCTTGCGACTTTTAAGGCCAATTCCATTACCTCTCTTATTGTAATCTTTCTTGCTTTCTCGTTACCTCAACTTTGCTTTTATTTTTCACTCCATATTACTTCTGTAAGCTAACATAAGCTAACAGTTGACCTAAATACCGAAAATGGCATTAGAACGTTTTAAAACTTGTTAGAAATGTAAGGCATAATTGAAGTTATATCAACTTATGTCTACATAAGATTCAGAACAAAATGTAGTAATTTCTATATTATAACCTTTAACAATTAATTATCGTCAAGATACTTACTTTTGGCATCCATGTGCGTTCCACCGCTTTTATTACAATCTCCTTCTTTTCACAAAACCTTAGTATATAGAAAATTACTTCTGTGTTCTATCTGCGAAAGGTTAAGTTAAGTTTGGTGTAAATTAGTCCAACCAATACATCATTGAAATCCAGCTCTGTATATTTGATATTTTGCATTATTATATATATAAAGTGGATGTGGCTGGAAAGTCAACAATTGCTCTTTTGACTACAAGCTTTGGTGCCCATGTATCAATACCATCTTTCAGCATCTTTTGAATGCTCTACAGGGGTAAAACCGTAAAAGTGAGAAAAAAGAAGTAAGCAATATTAATAATAGGTTGAAAATTGGAATGCAATAGGGCAATATCATGACCTTTTAACAAAAAAAAGTTGCATGATATTGAATCGAGAAGCATACTAATCCAATCACAAACCAAAAAAGAAACTACTTACTTTCAATTCAAACTCTGCAACTGAGGTTGTATCAGAAATTTGTGTTGATAGAGATTCAGCCTGTAAACATTTTATAAAACATAAATGGTGCCTTCTTATGAAGAAACTAACAACAACTAAAAGAAAAAAAAAGAATGCCCTAATTTTGAGAAGACATACCATTTTTGGGTGTAAGGCTTACAGAAAGAGAACTGTGAAATGTGAAATCGGACTGGAACCTGCAGTTTTTTTAGTGTGATGATGGAATCCGTGGAAGAAGAACGTTCAGGCGTCGACCATGGATCACTCCGAATAGTCGGGATTAAAGTTGGCGATCGTCAGACTTGGAGTACATCGCAGTCAATGTTTCCCTCTATGTTTAGGGCTATAAGTCGTTGCAGACACAGTTCCGATCGGTCCAAATCTATAAGTGACCGACAGTGAAAGAAATACGTTGAATTGTTGAGGAAAGAAGAGAAGGTTGGGTCGGAGGTAAGAGGTGGGAAGTGGAAAGGATGAAAGGATTTTGGAAGAATGAACAATTTTTTAGATAGAAGAAGGAAGAAAATGTGAATGTTTATCCGAGATGGTACGGCTAGAAAAATTGAAGAAGAATCGAGAATATGTCAAAGTTTCAAAGCAGTCAAGGGCGGTGGAGCTGGACATACGTTCGAAAACAGAAACACGTGTCCATCCCAATGTAGATAATTACATGTGGAAACCATAAACATTTGACAGGAAGCAGCTTTAACAAAAAAACAACGATGGAAGAAAAATAAAAATAAAAAAAATGACAAATACAGTGGTAGAAATAACCAACATAAGGATGGGGACCAAAATTGACAAAAAATGGGCAAGTTTACTGTTACTTTTCTTCAGAACTTTAATATATATATATATAATAATTATATAAAAACAATTATGTAAGGGTTAAAAAATGTAACTTTAAAATATAATAAGGGATATAGTTGTAACTTAAAATTACCAATAATTTAAGTTTAAAATTATAAAGGATAAAAACTGTTTAATCAAAATTATTTTAGGGTAGAAAATGTAAATATAAAAAGTTTTTTGTCTTAAAAATCAAACTTACTATTTTCAAATAAAGCCTTATTTACATTTTGTACCAACAACTTTAAAACTTATAATATGATAGGGATTTAGTAATTTTGGTTCTGAAAAAAGAAAACCAAATGAATAGTAATTTACACTCATGGACTTGAAGTAGGTACTTAATATATACTAGGGTTTGGACCGTCCGCGCGATGCTGCGGAAGCCCGATATATTGAAAAACGCAGGTCGACATGGATAAGGTTTGTGGGAGAAATATTGAGACAACTGTAACGACCCCAACTTTTACAAAGAAATTTTTCATTTTTAATTAGTCAACCATTTTCATAAAACATAAAGATTCCAATAATCGTTTTCAAAATCATCAACATTACAACATTATTATTTTCAAAACATCAGAGTGTCCCCCAAACCAGATCGGAAAAGAGAGTTAGAGTGCACGCCGCATCATCACGCCATGCCTTTACCTTTGGACTCCGAAGTACCTGAAACAAATCCACAAACGGTAAGCTGAAAGCTTAATGAGTCCCCCAGAGCATACCCC